TGAGGGGGTGTGACGCGGTCTGCCCTGGCCCTCTGCGGGCGCCCCTCCTTCGGGGGCGCAAGCCGAACGCCTGGCTGAACTCCGCAGGGTGTCACTGAGGGGGCTCTGGAAAAGCCTGTGCAACCCGTTACCCGGGACAGCCCCGTAAAGGTTTAGGCGTGAAGTTAACGTGGTGCGAGAGACTAGGTCCGGAAGCGTTCAGCGCTACCGGCCCGAGAAGCACCGCTGATACTCTTGTGAGAAAGAGCTCCCCGAGCGATGCTGCACGTGTTGGGGGAAGAAGGGGTGGAGAGGCGGGGAGCTCCGGGTGTCAGCGGTGGGGAGGGCTGGGCTGGGCTGGAAAGGGCTGAGCGGAGGGCGGCTCGCTGAGGGTGGCTTCTGCAGCCTTGCTGCTTGCGCTATTGCTAGGGCCAGGCCTCTCGCTTGCCAAAGAGTTTCCACAGTAGCGCAGCCCGTAATGACAGTTGCATAAAGCTCTGGTGTAAGACAATTCTCTCTCCGATTGTTTGAGCCTCATGTGTTTTAACTACACAAGATGGCTACTAGTCTAATGACTTCAGCAAATCATTGCAGAATCAGACTCTCGGGTGATAAACTGTGTAAAGAGGGGAAGTTCTGATGTGGAGTAAAGATGGATTTAATATGGAGTGAACGGTGTGTCTCACTAGATGCTGTAATTCATTCTCAAGATCCACACCAACAGCTACTTCTCAGTAGTCCAGACTGGAAGTCAATTATAGAATTTTGTTTAAATAAAGACCGTCTTTTTCTGAAATTTAATATGATGAATAAAAAGTTCATTTGATAGAAATACTCAGTTAACATATACTAAAGCCTGTGGAAAGAATACAGGAACGAGCCCTATGTTTTTTGCTCTTTAAGGAATGCTTTTATCGTATACCAGCAAATTGCTTTTAAATCTTTACAGATAAATGGACTATAAGAGAATTACGGATGAAGTTTCGGAAAAAATTTTATCATACAGTCAAGATACTTCAGGATGGAGAGTGATAAAAGTTTCAGTAAGAAAATATTAGTTAATATTGTTTATAAAGTTATTTTTATTAAATACATTTTGTTGCAAAAAGTGTTTAAAACTGTTTTCCTTTAGAAATTAGTTGACAACTCTTTATCAACTGCTAAGTTTTTATTTTTCCTTTTTCTACTTTGAGAAAAATGTTACAGTTTCTTCAAAGCCTTCAAAAGAGTATGCAGGAAATATGTAAGTATTTACATTTTGTTTGTCATTGTAATGATAACGACATCTTTTTTGAACAGACACACCCAAGATTGAAATGGAAAAGTTAACCATGTTCTGTCCTTCATGAAAGTGTTAAGTTTAGTTTTGTTAGCTGTAGAGAACATTTTGCGCTGTAGTTACACTGGGTCAGCAGTAGGGCTGGAACACAAGAGCTGGATTTCCCAAGCAATTTTCAAATGTGCTTTGAAAATTAAATACTATATAACACTTACTAGTATGGAATAAGTAGATATGGAGTCACAGTTTTGGCCTGAAGTCAGTGGCTCTTCCTGGTGGAATATTCTATTCAAGCCATTACATCTTACCAGCTGGGCTTTGCTTTTCACCCCTTCATACTTGTGAAATGACTGATACTCGCACATGCAGACATGCTTACATTCTCGCTCTGCCTTATCTGTCCTCTGTACCTTTTTCTTTCTGGCACCCAAAACTGAATTAACTGTACTGAGAGTAAGAAGGTCATATAATCTCTGGAGCAGCAACTTCATCTGTCCTTCCTTCTCTTGAGCGATGAATTCTGTGCTGCTGTTAAGCAGCTAGATTTGGCCCAAAGGGTGGAGTTAGGCAAGGCAGACTAAGCTGACCTCACAGTTTGCTGTCACTGATAGAGTTGGCTCTACTCTTTACATTCCTCCTCTCCTCTTTCCTACCCCTCTCCTGGCTCTGCAATCCAGCTTCTCATTTATGGTGGCTGTGGCACTCAGCTGATTGTTTACCAAGCTGATTCAGCTCATTAAACCAGGGGAAAGAAAAAAAAAAGTCACTAAAGGGAAGTGTGCAAAAGCAGCAGAAAAGAGGACACTTGCAAGATGTCCTTAGCCCCTCTCTCTCTTCTTTTTTTTTTAAATTAAAATGCCTAAATATAATTAGACATTTATTAAATTCTATATAGGCATTTTTATTAAATTAAAATATATTAAATGCCAATCTAGATAGATAGGCAGTAGAGAAAATCTGATTCTTTTTTGTTCTCAATATGATGAGATGTTTGTGATTAGTGGTATTCTAAATCCAAAAGCCTTGCTTGGTTTTCTAATTATTTCTGAAGGTTTGAGCAAGGAAGGTATTAATTACAGAAGACAATGCTATATCACAGGTATTACAGAAGAATTGCTCTATAGTATTATAATGGAAAATAGCTGTAATATTTCATTAGAATATGTTAAAAGTACTGTTATCTTAATAAAAATTTGCATACTTTGTATGCGGCATTATTATTGTATTTCAGATCTTACTTGAGTACAGGTGGATGTGAAGGAGTGAGAGTCTAGTTGCATAGAATTCATAAGAATGTGCCTGACTTTTTTTCTGTGGAGGAAAAAAGATATGCTATAGTCTCAATCAGGCACGAAGCCGTTTTCAGTTGTACTCAGATCTGTACATAGCAAGTCCTTTGCAGTTAGGAGAAGCATCATCGTGCTTTCTGCCATTTGGTACAGGGAGCCAGAATCTCTCATCCATTTATTTTTGTACAAATCTTTGTCACGTTAACAAGCAGTACTGGTGCCTAGTGTGTCTTTTGTGAAGGAATACTAGCTGTTTCTAGAAGCAAAAGTATAGCTCTTCCCATTTTCGGTTTGATATTGAATATTTATTAACCGCGTATCACAAATGCCAGATTCTTTTTTAATTGGCAGGAGTATTAGCAGTTTGCTGTACTTGCTAAAAGAAATCAGTATTGGGATCTGGTAGTGAAAAGCAAAAGAGATCCTTGCTTCAGGCAGGTGAAATATTTTTCAGCAGAGTTCAGGGCAGCATTAAGGTGATTGTTCAAGGCTGAATAGGATTTCGTTTGGAACTATGTCACCTAAACTCAAGAAAGACAATGAGGTATGTATTTCAGTTTGTGTAAGACAGCGAGACTAG